TCTTACCGTTGAGTCCCTGTTGACTCAGCGTGACCCATTGTGGGTTTCTGAGACTGTCCGTTGACGGGAGTAGAAAGCCCAGTGTTTCTCCCACAGAAAGACTGGTGGTTTTGAACTGCTGACCATGAGGATCGCAGCCCAACGCATAACCACTCCACCACCAGAGGGCTCCATGTAGTCTCATTTGGCTGCCTTAAAAAAAGAGAGAGAAGGGTGGGGAGGAGGGAGCAAGGGGAAACGGATCACAAGGATCGACACATAACCACACACTCCTCCAGGGGAACGGACAACAGAAACCATGGGGGAAGGGAGACAGCGGTCGGTGTGAGATAGGAAAGTAATAACAATTTATCATTTATCGAGGGGTCACGAGGGTGGGGGCGATAAAAGAGGAGCTGATATCAAGGGACCAATAGAAAGTAAATGTTTAGAAAAGAATGATGGCAACCTATGCACAAATACGCCTGAGACGACTGATGTGTGACAATAAGTTGTAAGAGGGGAAGGGACACAGGGCTCGGTGTAGGATATGAAAATAACAATCATTTATCATTTATCAAGGGACCACGAGGGTGGGGGGAGGGGGTAAAAGAGGAGCAGACATCAAGGGCTCAGTAGAAAATAAAAGTCTAGAAAATAATGATGGCGACATACGTACAAATGTGCTCGACACAATTGATGTATGAATTGTTACCAGAGCTGGAAGAGCCCTCAATAAAATATTGGGTTTTTTTAAGAGTTGCAAGAGCCCCCAATAAAATGATCTTTTAATATAAATAAATAAATAAATAACCCAAATGGTGGCTTCTGAGGAGATCTGCTTGGTCAGTTATATTCAAGAAAGAAAGGTCAGCTCAGAAGGTCATGGTGACCATTTGGTAGGGGGGGGGCGGAATTATCAAGGGATCATCTTGATAAGTAAGACTCCTCTAAGAATACAGCTGTGGTAAATAAAATGACCTAATTTCACGTCTACCTGATGAATGAATGTAGGGGTGGAGTCTAGCCTGTCAATCAGGTCCCAACCTGATGAGGCCTCCTTGTGGGTGTGGCTTTCTCATGGGGATTCTGGGAACTTCCTCTCTTTCTCCCTACAAGTGGACCATACTTTCTCTTTGCTTTGCCTTCTTGCTGACAAGCCATGTGGAGCCACGCTGTGACCTGCACCAGCCCTGAGACGTTTCCACTGCCATTGGATCCACAAGACTTTGCGCCCGCCAGCCTGAGATCTTTCTGCATTTTGAATCATTGCATGAGGCTGTGTGAGTCTGAAGAGAGAGTTGTGGACTAGTATTGAATGTATGGACTTGTGAACTTGCTCTGGACTGGGATGTTTTCTAAATATGCAGCTACTCTTCAATCGAAAGCTCTTTCTTACAGACAGATGAGTGCCCTTGGTGTGTTTCTCTTGTTAATCCGGCCTAACACAACAGCACAATCCCAGGGGCCTATGAGGACACACTGTTAAGAAACTCTAACCAGGAAAAAGGAGCCAAGTTTGTTTTTTGTTTTTTTCTCCCCATTATGACAATCCACCTGCTCCTTCTTCAAGGTCAGCAAAGATTAAAGTGACCAGATTTTAACACTGGTAAAGCGGGACACCATTGATAAAACTCATATCCTGGCGAAATAGCCACATGGCAGCCGAAAACCGTATACCCTAGCTTGTTGTGCATTCTTTCCAAAAATCAGGAATTTTTTAAAATGCCGCGGGACGTGGGAAGTAATGTTAAAAATTGGGACTGTCCCGCCAAAAGCAGGACGTCTGGTCACCTTAGCAAAGATGTCCAACCAGAATGTCACTGAGACACTTTATTTGCTCCACCCTATAGTCCTCCACTGCATCCCTATGTGGTGCTGGTTGTTACGGGTCATCAGTCAGCTCCAACCCACCGCGACCCTAGGCACAGCAGAACGGAACACCAACCTCACAACTGTTCCCATACCGGAGCCCCTTGTTCCAGCCTTGATGTCAATCATCTCCTCCAGGGCCCTGCTCTTATCCGCTGCCCCTCCACTTTACCAAGCATGATGTCCTTCTCCAGGGACTCCCTGTCTCTCCTAAGTATATGTCCAAAGTAGGTCAGACAGAGTCTGGTCATGCTTGCCTCCAAGGAGAACTCTGGCCATAGTGTGTCAGTCCGGGTTGACTAGAGAGACAAATTCATAGACACTCATCTGTGTCCAGGAAAGAGCTTTATATCTGAGGTAGTTAGTTTATTGTGCCAACCTGGCCGATAAACACATGTGGGATTAATTGAAGGACAGAGGGATAAATGGCTCGGTGAGCCTCACCTTTCTAGTTCTCGGGTCTCTTGCTTTCTGATGGTCAGACCAGGGTGCAGCTGCCTTAGCCAGTTCCCTGCTTCAGCTGGCAAGGCTCACTTCCTGCAAGACATTCCTG